GAGATATGCACCAGTTGTGGACTACTTGTTCCCAATTTATGGCTAAATCTGACCTCCCACCCGATGTTTTAGCGAAGCACCTCCATATTGATTTTGTAGTCAAGATTGAAGAGCTCCGCCTCAAGTCTTCCCTTGCCTGTGGATCCTTAATGCCACACCACCATGATATTAGAGGTGTTGTCGTTGATCTTGAAGACCAGAAAATACTCTGAATGAGACGAGTCCTCGACTCTTCTAATGTGGAGCTTGTTAAGCTTATGGAAATGGGACAAGTCCTTAATCTTGACGATGCATTGGCATTGCACTATGTAGTTGAGAATTGCAGCGGAAAAGTGGTAAGAGATTGCTTGAACTTGGTACAGCTAATGTAAACTACCTGCTAGCCCAGCACGCAAAACTCCACCCCACATTATTATTGAAGTGGTGGATTTAAACTTTTTAACAACTTTTTTGCAAGTTTGATTGCATCCTCAACTTAAAATGTCTGAGTCTACCACTAAATTTGTACGCATCAGATAACCAATAATGACCCACTGGGGCTTCATGAACATCCTTGTGTAGTCTTCCTTCAGGTTAAGCTTAATCAGGACATGCTTGAAATGTAAATGGCATACTTTCCATTTTCCTTTTAGTTAGTGTTAAAAATGCTTTCTCTTACAAATTTCACCTTTGGCTTCTTGTGAGAAAATTTTCCAACTAGTAAATAGGGTGTTGGATTGGAGAGGGTATCTACATCTTAGTTATTTCTTTAAGAGAGAAATGAAGAAGGTTAGTTCTGATAAGTGCGGATCAAGGCGAAGGATTTGGACCAGGACGTTTTAGTTGGAAAAGATAACCGTGTGATACCTGGCGGGTTTGGTGGTGGCAACGACGGTGGTGGTTGGGGGTGTACAGTTTAGCGTGGTAGTAGGTAAGGAAAGGGTACGAAGAGAGTTGATAATCATTTCAATTTAATTCATAATTTTTTTTTCCTTTAAATTAGTGAATTAATTTTGAGTTCGTTTCCACTTCCTTTTAATTCTCATTCATTAAATTATTGCTGATTTTTTTTTATTGAAAATATATCTGAATTAGATTGAATAAGATCCATTTGGAGGTGTAATTGTGTCTAGTTAGATGGGTAATGCTTTGCATTTCCTTATTTTCTTGTCTTTGTTGGCATTTAATTTTGATTACTATGAATTGAATTCCATGAAGACAAATATAAAAGGCACGAAGTGTTAAGTTTTATAAATGACAAGGATGATGTAAATCGAAGAGCCTAAATCGACACTACAATGCAACTATTATATTAAGGTCTTGTTTGAGTCTCATTATCTAAAAATTCATTTTTTGTCAAATTTATTTTCAATCTCAAAATTTTTTCCTATTTTTTAACCTTACATTCTTAAAAAAAATAAAATTACAATTATAAATTTATCTCTCAAAAATGGAACTCAAACAAAGGCTACATAAGAGGAAACTAACTCCCCGTGTGTCATTTGTCTCTCTCTTTTGAATGATTGTATTCGATTTTCTAAAAAAGATTGCAAATCCTTAACATTTCATAGAATTCTTGTTGTAGATGACTAATTTCTTTGATTTTATTTTTTTACATTGATTCCGCATTTTTTATAATTGAATAATTGTTACAGAATATCTCGCCAAATTTTATATATCGCTATGTTATTGAACCCATATGTTATTTTGACGAATTTGATGAAAAGAAAGTAGGAAAGGGAAAAATTGATGACATCTGTTACACCACCTCTATCGAGGCTCCATTTCACTTCCACTTCACGCCTCCCACGAGACAAATAAGTCCTCACATTATATAAATATCCATGCATGAACTTAAGAGACTATTCTTACGCCTCATCCACCGAGACTCCATTTCACTTCCACCCTGTACTTCCATTTTACTTCCACCTCACCCTTTCCACAAACACAAAGAAGTCCACGCAATATATAAATATCCAAACATGGATTTAGGGGCGCTGTTGTTACACCTCCTCCACCGAGGCTCCATTTCATTCCTACCTGGAAACCAAAAGAAGCCTACATTCTACGTCATTATCCACCCGTCCGTAGTAGGACAATGTCGAGGTGATTGATCACTTCATCTGATGTACCTTTGAGGCTGCCCTCCAGGACTGGGATGAGATGTTGACGTCTGCCCCACGAAAATGTTCGAAGTGATCGATTAATTAATAAAGGAGCACGTTGCATTCCACGTCTTCCAAGTAAATCTTTGGAGCAAATCTTATGATTGATTAATGTGATGTGACGTCCCGATGGCGGACCCCAACAGGTCAAGTCAAACTACTGTTCATAAATCATTAACAGTCGCATTAAATGCCCGTCAACCTACGATTGACAGATTAACACCTAGAAGGAGACACGAGACACTCCTGCCATCAGATGTGTCCACATGTATCCACATCCAATTGTCAATATCTCACCTCCATCACTACATAAACCCTCGTACATTGCCCTAGAGAGGTAATGAAACTTTAACACTTTGAATATCACATGCAACTATCTTCCTTTCATATATTTCCCTAGCACACAATTTGTGTGCTCCCACGTCCCTAGATGTCCTACACCCCTTATTCCGTCATCGGCGGCTGACTTGACCGTTGAAGTGCTCGCGATCGCCTTCACTACCATCGGAGAAGGCTACTGATAATTAACGATTTCTCCAAGTGTGCAAGAGAATACCTACGTGGACGTGAGTGGAGTTAGGATCTGTTGTCCACGTCAACGTGCACAAAAGATGTCAACAACATCAATTATATTATCATACCAACCAATGTAACCTTCTTAGGATGAAGCTTCACAAAAAAGAGAAGACGAGATAAGAATTTAATTAGATTGATGTTTTCAGTTAAATAAACAGCTTTAAAACTCAATTTTAAAATTTAACATCTTCAACATGCAAGTCCTAATCTTTCACGTTTTCACCAAGCCCTGGTTTGATTTAGATAAAAATCAAAATTTTAATAGATCTTAATAAAACTTGATTTAATGTGTGTTTAAAAAGTTGTGAATCCCATAAATGTGTAATTCAACTAATTGTTTATTTTGACTTATATATTTAACTCAAATTTTTCAGTTGAACTAAATAAAAGCTACATATGGTTCCGGTATCACTAAAATATGTTTACTCCCTGATTGGTAGGGATTAAAATATAACTTTCAATCTAAATTAAAGTTAATAATTAATTTTAATCACATATTTTATAGGATCCCCAACTTTTTAATCACACATTTCATTAATTTTTATCAAATTCTAGAAAAAATCTGATATTTATTCCCATCCAACAAAGCTTAGCCAGATACCTAAATCACCCCTTTAACCAAAATATAACTTATAAATAAAAAATTAAGCTAGGATTTTAGAGTCATCACGTTGGAGTAAGTGTATAAACGAGTCGGGCAAAGCCAAAGCTCAATCGAAAATCCATGGCTTGGCTTGGGCTTCATTAAGCCGAGTTAGCTCGAGTTTTTTAAAATTTGTGAAATTATAAATTCTTTTTAACAATGTAAATTAGATATAAATGATGTAACACCATCAAAAGTTTTTAGAACTTCAATAGCAACTTCTTGTCTTTTGTTATGTAATTTTATAGTATCGTACAAAGAGTATTTTTACAATAAGAAGTGCACTTGAGTTGAAGATAGTTTTGTACGAGTGTCTGCACAAAAAGTATTTCTACAATAAAAGAGTATAGTTGGGTTGAAGATAGTTCCACACTATCATGCAAAGTGACATCTTAGCTGCAGCCATTTCTTTTCGAAATTTTTGTAGTGAATATATGAAGGTGAAAAGAGTAGAACTAGAACTGCCAACATAAGTTCGATCTGTTTTGGATCGAGATCGGCTGGTTTCGCTTTGCAAGTCCTTGCTATGTGCTTATTCAAAAAAGTTGTGCTTGAATTGAACTTCCAACTAAGTTTCTTACCACAATACTAGTTGCAATATACTTTCTACTTCATTTTGAACACCAACTTTTTTCATGTCATATATTGCCAACAATTCGAGGATTATTTCTTTGGCCTTTTAGTTTCGAATATGTCTTCCTCTTCAATATCTTTCAAGTCAATTGAAATATTTTCAGATAAATCGTAGTTGAATTGAGGCCCTGTTTGAGCCAAATTATTATAAAATGAGAATGAAAAATATACCTGTTATTGGGGCCCACACAAGAGAGAAAATTTGAATTTAGATATCTATGTGATGGATTACGGCCATATTTTTCATTTTAATGAGAAAATAAGGTAGCCCAAACGGGGGCTGAGTACTTGAACTACCTTAAAATTGATTAATTTCATCACCAATAAAATTCATTTGTAACTATTAAATTTGGAATACTTAAAATTAAAAAAATTATAGCAAATAGAAACTGAATATCGAGGCAAAGAAGTTGGAGATTGGATTTGAAAAATAAAATATTACAAGTTGAAAATTGTTGAAGTAAATTGATATCAAAGGTTTTACCTTCATATTTATAGCGCCCATTCTGTATAGCAAAATGTCCCTTTGGGCAAAGAGATCGGTGATGGGAGTGAAACTGCGCTACCTCCAAAAAGCAAACAACTTTTGTAGCTAGCACGAGCCATTTAGATCACCACAAGGGTCGGCCCAGACTCAAGTCATCGGTCGAAATTTCGACTTGGTTCGATTCTTGACTCGAGTCCACCAAGTGCATGAATCGAGTCGAGTCGAGTCGAGCCGACATACTTGTTTGATACCTCTATGTTGGAGATGGCTTCATTTCCTTTCTAAGGTTTTGGATTCACTTACAATTATGTCAATAGGTTGGGGACCAATAATTCAATTTTAAAATTGGTAAACTTGAGTCGAAACGCCATCGTATCATGGGTAGAATAGAGATCGGCCATCTCTGCAACATAGCTAAAATCCAACTCACACTAGACTTCGACTCCCTCTTATCATTTCTCTCCGACCAAACCAAATCTAAACCCTAGGCGTAACAAACACCGGCGCACAACCAGCGATGGCTATCCGCCACCTCCTAACCGCCGCCCGCCGCTCTCGAAATCCAACTCATGCACTCGCAGCCGTGCGTTCCCACTCTACCGCCGTCGCCGCAGCTAACGCCCCCTCGCCACCTTCTCCGCCTCCCCCAACCGCCATGATCTACGATCGATTAGCCGAATCCGTCAAGCAAAAGATTAAGCAGCTTGAATCCCCGGACCCGCGGTTCCTCCAGCACAGCTCTCCGCACCCAACCCTAGCTTCTCACACCGAAATCCTAGCCGCCCCTTTAACCCGAATCACCACCCTTCCTAATGGCCTCCGAGTTGCCACCGAGTCGACTCTTTCCTCCCGCACTGCAACTGTAGGAGTGTTTATTGATGCTGGGTCTCGGTTCGAGACCGAGGAGACCAATGGGACTGCTCATTTCTTGGAGCATATGATATTTAAAGGGACTGAAAGGCGGTCTGCGAGGGAGCTGGAGGAGGAGATTGAGAATATGGGCGGACATTTGAATGCCTATACTTCCAGAGAGCAGACCACTTATTATGCTAAAGTGATGGATAAGAACGTGCCACAGGCGCTGGATATTCTTTCGGATATTCTGCAGAATTCGAAGTTTGAGGAGAGTCGAATTAATCGGGAGCGAGATGTTATTCTCAGGGAGATGGAGGAGGTATTGATATATTGATTCTTCATTTTAAGTTCACATTTATGTCCTCTAATTTGTTGTTAATTTGAGTATTTTTATGTTTAATGGGTAAAGATTGTGCTTTTTGCTTGAATGTTGTGTTTGGTGGGCAAATATTGTTACTCTGTGATTAAATTTTGTGTTTGGTGGATAAATTCCTGTTTCTTCTTGATTAATTTCTCTACTTGACGATTAAGTATAATCTAGTTCATAGTTTTTCTAATTTTTGGATAAATTTTGTGCCTTTCAATTTAATCTTTTGCTTTTTGGATAATAAATGTGACTTCTTCTAATTAATTTTTCTGTCTTTTTTGTGTCATTAGGTTGATACATGATGGCTTCTTATGGATTTGAATTAAAAGGGCATAAAAGATATTACAGAAATATGAAATATTATCCATCTGTGAAAAACTTAAAACGTTTTTGTGTTACTGTCAGCCTATGTTTGGCCCCCATTTTTTCAAAAACTCCTTTATTTTAAAACTCATTTTCAATTGCACATTCCTCCGTAAAATAATTTTATACGTAAACCAAAAACTTTTCCTTATTTTTGAACCATGCATTCTCTAAAAAATTACTATTCAGAAACACATTTCCTCCCAAAATGGGGCTCAAATATGAATAAAAAAGTAGGATTTTAGTGTCATTATTGTTCTCCTTTTCCCCCTCTTTTTCTGTAATATGAGATGTTCTGTCACGCATAAAAGTTTAAATCCTTTCCCAATCCCATTCTTCACTGTTTGACTTTTGAAGCTACACAGATTACATATGGTACAACAAGTTTTAAACATGACTTGCGAATGCGTATGGTCAAGTAGCCATCAATATTTTTTGTTCTAAAGGTTTTCACCTGATAGAGAAAGGAGTTTTGTGTCACTGCAATGACTCCTAGCAGTTATTCTCTGAAAAATAGTCCATTAATACTTATTTTGAAATGCATTGTATTGGAGGACTTTTATTTTTCATAACTTTAGTTTGTTGTCCCTAAAGGATGGTAAAAAATCTCTTGATTTATGGTGCACCTGTTTAAATTTCTCATGCTTAGTGTCTACTCTTGAGTGCTCTATTTGTACGTTCATGATTATTGTAGGTTGAAGGTCAGACTGAAGAAGTTATATTCGATCATCTACACGCCACTGCATTTCAATACACGCCCCTGGGCAGAACAATTCTTGGGCCTGCTGAAAATATCAAAACAATTGGCAAAGAGCATCTAAGAAACTACATATCAACACACTATACTGCTCCCAGGATGGTAGGTGTTTTTCCATGGAAGTTTAGCTAGTTTTTGGAGTGGTGGTGTATCTGCCTTAATAACTGGTTGTTTGCTGCTGATCAACTATTGACTTTTCCTCCGTGGCTTTATCATAGGTGATTGCTGCCTCTGGTGCAGTCAAGCATGAGGATATTGTTGAGCAGGTGAAAAAATTGTTTACAAAGCTATCGACAGATACAACCACAGCATCTGAGTTAGTTGCTAAACAACCCGCAATCTTCACGGGCTCAGAGGTATCCTTATCTTTTTTAAGAGCTTGATGGTCTCTAAGGGCTACATTCTCATTATAGTGACCTCTCGTGAAAAATTCAGGTTAGGATGCTTGATGATGACATTCCTCTCGCGCAATTTGCAGTTGCTTTTGAAGGGGCATCTTGGTCGGATCCAGATGCCATTGCCTTAATGGTCATGCAGTCGATGTTAGGTTCTTGGAATAAAAATGCAGGTGGTGGAAAGCATATGGGGTTAGTATACTTCACATGATATCCTAGAGTTCAAGTAATTTGATTGTATTGTACACATGATTCTAGTGCATAACCACATAACTTGACTCATTGATTGGGTTTATAAATGCTTTTACAGTTCTGAGCTTGCACAGAGGGTTGCCATCAATGAAATAGCTGAAAGCATGATGGCTTTTAACACCAACTACAAGGACACTGGTTTGTTTGGTGTTTATGCTGTTGCTAAGGTGAGCTATCACTTTTGGTAAAGATAAATTAAAGGGGAACAGAACTTGTGGTTAAAACTAGTTAAATGAGAGCACCGTGTCAACCCCC